AGGAGGAGGAGGAGGAGGAGGAGGAGGGGGAGGAGGAGGAGGAGAGGATAGAGGAGGAGGAGGAGGAGGAGGAGGAGGAGGACGAGAAGGTAGAGGAGGAGGAGAAGGAGGAGGAGGAGGAGGAGGAGGGGGGAGGAGGGAGGACGAGAAGGTAGAGGAGGAGGAGGAGGAGGAGGAGGAGGAGGAGGAGTCGACACCGTCCTCTCGGTGCCCGGCACTTCCTCCCGAGCGGGCCCTCTGCAGTGGCCAGGCGGCGAAGGGCCGGGCCTCCCCCCGGAGCCCCGGGGAGACGCTGGCAGAACCAGCCTGGAGGGACCCATAGGGCACACAAACAAATAGGCGCAGATCCCAGGATTCCAGAGGTCCAACGTGTTGAAAAAATCAAGGCGGCGGTTTTTCGCCGATTTCGACCTCCAGAGGCCCTCGCCGGGGCCCGGGGCCGTCAAGAAACGACTCGGGATGAAAAACCGGTCCTGGGGAATGGGTCGAGTCTTCCGGGGACCGCGCATTGAAAAGATCACGACGTCGGATCTCTGGGATATTCCCCGTATGTTCCCATGTGTTCTTGGTCTTCATCGTCCCCCCCCCCATCAACCTTCCCCTATTTCCCCATGCGTTTTCCAAGGGAGCGACGGTTCCTTTGCCTGCTTGTGTCTTTTCCCCCCTCTCGACAGCCGTCCGCGGAGACGTGTGAAACGCGGGGCGTCGGCTGGCAACCGCCTGGACGCGGCAGAGCGAATTGCGCACCGATGCGAACGGCAAGAGGGAGGAGGAGGAGGAGGAGGAGGAGGAGGAGGAGGAGGAGGAGGAGGAGGAGGAGGAGGAGGAGGAGGGAGGAGGAGGAGGAGGGAGCCACGCTCGGAGGGCGCAGCTCTTCGCGTGGTGGGCCGGCGATCTCGGGCCGCAGCACGAGTCGTGCAACCCTGGCCACAGGCTGTCGGAGCGCCCTGGAGCGCATCGGGGCACGTGCGGGCCAGCAGGGTCCGAGCTCAGCTCGAGGACATCCGATGAGGTGGCAGGCCCGTCGCTCGCCAGGCCAAACAGCAAGATGCCGGGTGCCAGGAGCACAGAGGTCGCGGGAGTGGTCGCGCTGGACCGTCCACAGAGCTCCAGCCAGGCCAAGCACTAGACCAGCGAGCCGGCTTGGCCGGCCGCGGTCCAGGCAAGACCGCCAGCGTGGCGCGGTGCTCCTTCCCAAGCTGGCCCTGCGCGCGTGTGCGGGCCTGCCGAACGCGATGCGTGGCCAAGCGTTGGACGCCCGAAGCATGCGGGACAACTCTGGTCTGGGGCATCTCCAGTTTGGGCCCCCGCGGCACGAATCAGGAGCTTACACCTGACCACCCCGGGCCCCGGTGATTCGGAAGTGGTTGGACGCCCGAGTTATCCGGGATGGCTCGGGTCCGGAGCAACTCCGGCTTGGGCCCCCGACGCAAGAATCGGGAGCTACCCCCGACCACCCCCAGCCCCGATGATTCGGGACCCTGACGGACCAGCAGCCTGCAGGGGTGCCGAGCGTAACGTCGAGAGCAGCGGGGCGCCTGGCATGGCGGCGGGCGCGGGATGGGTGGGAGCATTGGGTCGGGCATGTCCCCTACAGGCGGATTTTGGAAGAACAATCAGAAGTAAAACAAATCAGAAAATATTCAATAATAATCCAGAGACCACGAAAAATCGCCCCCGATATTTTTAAAAACTATTCTTGAATATTCCCCCCGTAGAGGGACATGCCCCACACGAGAGGAGCAAAGAGCGAAGAGGGGGGCAGCACGCAGGCCGTGCCATTACCAACAGCGGCGCAAACCGCGCCAAACGAACGTGTAACAACACACGTTGTTGTGTGGCAGCGCCAGGGGTCGCCGGGGCGCGGGTGTCGCTTTGCAGGCAGGGCATGCCGGGAACGGGCGCGGGAGCGGGCGGAGGGGAAGAGGGCGGCCGAAGGTCGTAGAGGCAAGCCGTGGACGCGCCAGAGAACGCGCCCAGGGGCGTGTCAGGGAGGCGCCACGAAGCGTGCCAAGGGACATGCCATTGGGCGCGCCACGGGACGTGCCGCGCGACGCGCCGAAAGGACGCGCCGAAGGGAGCGACAGGAGAAGCGCTAGGGAACGCGCCAAAGGGGCGTGCCAGGGGACGAGCCAGGGGACCTGCAGGAGGACGCGCTAAGGGACGAGACAGGAGACGCGCCACGGGACGCGCCAGGTAACGCGTCAGGAAGCGTGTCAGGGGACGCGCCAGGGGCCTGCAGAAGACGCGCAAGGGGACGTGTCAGAGGACGTCTCAAGGGATGTGCCGCGCGACGTGACATGGAACGTGCTGACAAATTGCGCCACTGGATGCGCCAGGGGACCCGCAATGGGACGCGCCATGAGACACGCCAGGGAACATGCTAAGGGGAGTGATATGGGATGCGCCACGGGACATACCACGCGACGCTCCAGGGAACGCACTATGGACGCGTCAGGTGACCTGCCAGGAGACGCTCCCGGGAACGAACAAGGTGACGTGCTAGGGGACGCGGCGCAGGGGACGTGCCACTGGACTTGCCAGAGAACCTGCAAGGGGACGCGCCGCAAACGTGCCAGGGAGCGGAGGTGGAGGCCGAGAGGAGGAAAAGGGGTAGGAGGAGGAGGGGGAGAAGGAGGAGGAGGAGGAGGAGGAGGAGGAGGAGGAGGAGGAGGAGGAGGAGGAGGAGGAGGAGGAGGAGGGGGGGGACCGCGGGGGGGACAGGGAAGAGGGGGGGACCACGGGGGGAGGAGGAGGAGGAGGAGGAGGAGGAGGAGGAGGAGGAGGAGGAGGAGGAAAAGGAGGAGGAGGAGGAGGAGGTGGAGGAGGAGGAGGAGGGGGAACGCGCCAGGGGGGGGTCCCACGACTCGTGCTGCCCACGCTGCCTCGCGGAGGCTCAACGCTCCTGGGTCGTCGGGCCCACGACAGGGCCAGTGCGTCGTGGCGGCCCTCGGTGGCAGCTCGCGGGAACCATCTTGTCGGCTCTTGCGAATCGATGCTGATCGACGCCCAGTCGACGCTAATCGACGCTAGATCGACGCCACTCGGCGCTGACCGACGCCACATCGGCGTTGTCTCGTCGACTCCCAGGCGCTGGCAGACGCGAACCGGCGCTGAAGCCGGAATCAGGAGGCACATCGGGCTCCCATGATTTGTTACCGAAGCAGCCCATCCCGAAGAGAAAGGTGCATGTTTGGGGCTGTCCCTCACTATTGCGATGGATGCGGACCCTGAGGTACCGCACAGCTCGAGCGACATCCTCCATACTGTTATTGGTGAGCCGCTCGTCCCACAACGAGCGCATGTCGGTCAACAACTTCTCGGACTTAGGCTTCAGCGCGGGGTCGGCTTCGGCTGCTATTGTACGCGAAGCGCCGTACGTCATGACGGCCTTGAAGATTGTGAGATGCGGGGGTCCGCGGATTGTGTGATAGATAACTTATCCGTCCTCCCACTTTTTGCGCAAGGCTTTGCTTTCGTCGCTGCACTGCTTCCTGCCGCGACTGCGCTGCGATCATGCCCTAGCTGGCATCCATCTCGTATCGACAATAGCTCACAGCTCTCAAACATGCTACCTCTCCGGCGCTGAAAATGAAGCGCAAACATACATGCGAGCTGGAAAACGAACAGCGAGTGCCGCCTGCAAGAAGTTACTTCGTTGTAGCAACGATTACGAAAAACGAAGCGGCGCGGCGAAATGTTGGCAGCTCATACAAAAAAAGGCAACGAAAAACGAAGTGGTCAAGACAGTTAGGAGTTTCGTCACCTCGTGCGATTCCCATCACGCTCCATCGAGGGGGGGGGGAGGAAGACGAGAGCGGCCGCGCGAGGGGAGAGAGAGGGGAGAGCGCTCAGACGTGGAAGAGTTCCGCGTTGAGCGGGCAGGGGCCGCCGACCGAGGCAGCGGTGACCGTCGTGGCAGCAGCCGGCCGCGCTCCCAACACAGATGCAGCAGCCAAGTCGCAGCACGAGCATCGGGGATGCACAGAAGCCCCTTTGGCAAAGCGTGGATCCGTGAAAACGACCTCGGGCCCAAACCTGGCGGGCCCAAGCCTGGAAAATGACGGCCGCGGCGCCCTCTCGAGGACCGAAAACGGACCATTCACGAATCGACGCGTCAGGGTGGGGGTTCTGTGCGCCTCCGAGAACAGTGGCCGGCAGCGACGTGCGTCGGGAAGCACAGCACAGGCCAGCCCGAGGTGCGGCGCCCGCGATGCATGGCCGCGCGTGCCAACGCACCTCCACCGTCCATGCGAAGTAGAAAGGCCAACAGAAATCGGCGCCCGCGCATGGCCCGAGATGTTGCCGCAACGCGTGCTGTACTTCAAACCGGCCGTTGACAGGGACGGCGGGCTTGCACTTTTAAAATGATCGCGGGGCACCCGAACCGTATCAACATGCCCAGTTGTTTAGCAGGGCCCGTCCGCCCCCCCCCCATCCAAAGCCTGTCAGGGCCCGAGTTGGTACCGAGATGGCCCCTGATAGCCTCCAAGATGCCTCAAGATAGCCCCCACTCCTTTCCCCTTCCTCCTCCTCCTCCTCCTCCTCCTGGCCATCTTTCTCTCCCTGCTCCTTCTCATTCCTCTTACCCTCCTTCAACATCCCTCTTCATCCAAACAACTCTCATGGGCATCGTTTCTGGATGGGGTGGTGGGGATATTTTTGGGGGGGTCGGCGGCCGCGCGACAACGGTCTGGCGGCGACATGCGATGTCCGGGACGGCGGTACAAAGCTAGTTGCACACGAAGCGTGCGGTGCACGTGCACCGAGCAAAATGCTCCACATTCGCAAGCAGTCGCACCTAGGCGCCGCCCAATCCAGAGTGAACAAGCGGCCAGAGCGAGTGCTACGGAGGGAGTCGCCCTTGCGGCGCCAAGCTCCGAGCAGCTTCCCAGGCAAACAACGAGGCACAAGCCCGGGGGACAGGCTGCTGGCGGTGGAAAACAAGCGCCGCCCCTCCCCCCTCCCCCCCGCCCTCCCCCTCCTGTCCTCGGTCGGCTGCCGCTTCCCATAGGGGGCGCCGCTCGCCGGGCAGTCGTGGGGCTGCGACCGAGCCGCACGGGGCGCCCTCAGCTCCCAGGAGGCCCGCGGCCCGGGGCGCGGGTCAGGGCCGCCGTGTCCTCCAGGCGGGCCCTGAGCTCCGCGAACTGCCCCTCCGCCCAGGCGCCGAACTCGGCCTGGGCTGCGCGCACGAAGTGCAGCCCGCAGCTGACGGCGTACACGTCCATGCTGGACGCCTCCCCCTTCAGCCGCATGCAGCCCGCCAGGAAGGCGGAGAGCTGGACCCTCTTCTCGCCGCCCTGGCAAACCGTGCCGGAGTTGTAGGAGGTGAGCATCTTGAACAGCATCCTCGTGTCCTTTTGGGTCAGGCCCCGTGCATCGAAATGCTTCCGGAACTCTCGCTCGTTCATGTAGCCAACGAACTCGCCGAAGGTGATGGTGTCTTGGTCATCCTCGCGCATGCCAGACACCATGCGGATAAGCTCGTCTGCGTCGTGCAGGTCCGAGTGGCACTTGTCCAGTACCTCGTTCTCCGAGCATGGCTTGGCGATCTCCATCGCTTTGTCCAGAAACACGCTCGTAACGATGTTCATCACCGTATAGAAGATGAGGTGGAATACCCTGACCATGGGGTAGATCCACGCGTGGTAGTTACGCAGCAACACGAACTCTGCGCCGCACGGGAGGCGGTGCAGGATCATGAAGTCGTCCTTCCAGTCCACTACCAATGATGCCGATTCCCATCTCACAGATGGCCCTCAGCATGGTAGCCCTTCTGACATTTGATGCAGGGTCTGCCGCATACGTTATCCACCCACTCTTGGCTGAGACCCGCGGGAGGCTGGTCCAGAAAGTGGGCGGCAGAACAAACTTAGATGAAAGATCAGCTCGAAGCCCATCCCAGTGTGGGCACTCCACGACCTGATGTCTGATGGATGGCCACAGATGGCCGCAGTGTGGGCAAGGTAGCCCTGTCTGTCGACGTGTCTCCGATGAAGCTGCCCCTGAGCGAAACACGGAGAGGCTGAACTTCTCGGCAATACTCAATGAATGAAACCACTTTGTGAAAACTTTGTTGCTGCAGGCGTCGACGTCCACCGATTCGACCTCCTCTGAGTCTTTCCTGCGGGGCTCCACAATTTGAAGGCACCTGATCCTGGCAATGACCCGAAGGACATGTTGTGCGCGCTTGGAGTGTGTCCAAAATCTGAGCTGAGCGTCCGCCAAACCTTCCACAATCTGCAATACTCTGAAGTCGTCCATAGATGAGACTTCCAGTAAAACACCACGTTCTTCTGAAAATCGTATATACTCCAACCCCAACGTTCGGGCGTGGACTTGGATCGAGTTCTCCAGGAAAGATGACCAAATCAGCTTTTCGTCGTGTAAACGTCTGAAGGCGAAGAGGCTGCAAGAATAGACTGGGTGGAGCATGATGTTCTGGCACCACCATCTGCCCAGGCACCACCATGTGTTCTGGGTGCGCCAAACTGCTCTCGCCAAAAGCTTTGCCATCGCCGTCGGTGGGGGTGTCACGATAGGGGCTCCCCACGTCCACAGAGGTCTTAGATATGTGTAGGCCAGCCGCAATCTCACCATGCAAGATCCAGGAACAGACTGAAGAATAGAAATCCCAGTGTGAAGTTTGGCCCATTTGTCTTTTGGTATGATGGCCCACGTCGCGTCGGTAGGACAAGCGAGGAGACCGAGGTGTTCGATCTGCTGAGGCTCCGCGTCCATGGTGGACCATACCTGCGTTTTCTTTTTGTTCGCTTTGAAACCCACGTCACTGTCAAATGTAGATGTTTCAGCCATGTCGTCCAGCAGCCCCTGCGGGCTGTCTCCAACAATATAGCGGTCATCCATAAAGCATCCCGAGGGGCCAGACGTGATCCAAGGAACGAGGGTACTGATCATGGTCCCCGGTGCTGTGCTGTCTCCTTGTGGCAAACCTCGGTCTGCGTATATTGCCCTCTCTGCCAGTTCTCCGTTGAGGCTGCACCAACGAGGGCCTTTCCATGCCGATTTGCATACATATCGTACTGCCAGAGGGTAACGTGAACGCTCCATTGCAGCACTCGCAATTTCATGAAGGATATTATCATAAGCGCGGCTGAGATCCAATTCGCATCCGTCCGAGCTCAATTCGCAATGTCGCAACCACTGGCTGATCGCGTGAGTGACTGACACGTGCTTTCGATTAGCCCATTGGCCCTCTGGAGGCTCAGGAGCCGCAAATGCCAATGCTCTGAGCCAAATACGTAGCAACACGCTGCCCACGCTGATAGGCCTCGTGTCATCCTCTCCCTTGGGCATACCTGCCACTCTCCAGGCGAATACCAGATCGTGGAGTTCTCCTGGTGGACAGCCTTCATGTTCAATGCAATACCTGGAAGTATCACACCACAACGTGTAGAGTTCTGCGATGATCTCGGGATACAGGTCCGCCAGGATACGGATCTCTCTAAAGGACCACCCATCCAATCCAGCACAACCCTTTGAACTTCTCAAAGCTTCATCAAACTGTTCCTTCGTTGGCAGCCACATCTCATGCAAAGTCGACTTCGGGAACTCAACTTGATCAGCGCGATGTTGCCAGGCTCGAAGGTGTGCTTGTTTGTCAACATTCCCAGGCTTCCACTGTGCTTCCCACTCCTCGGCGAACTGCGAGACGTGGCAAGAGGATGCCGGGGGTGCTTGCTTGAACATAGGCGTGGCCACCTTATACACCTCTGTAGACCACGCTGCAAATTCTTCTTTCCAGGATCTCTGAGCTTCACGTTGCAATTTAATATTCTCCGCTGATATGGCTGATGTCAGCCACTGGAGACAATCCGCATAACAAGGAACACCTTCTGCTTTCATGTTGACAATTCCCTCGAAGGCCGCTCTGGCAATATCCGTGAAGTGTCGTGGAGAGATCTCAGCCATCGCTGAGGTTCCCTGCCTGAGCGCCTCCGAGAAGCGACGATGGAGGCGGAGAAGACGCCTGTGTGCGATACTTTGTTCTGGTCGAAACCGAGGTCCATGTGCCGCTGGCCTCTGCGTGGGTTGGGAGCCCTTGCTCCTCTCAGGTAGGCGGTCAATCTCTACCAACTTTTTGTCCACTGCGATGTTGAGTGCTGCCTCTGCTCGCTCGTGCCAGTAGCGCCATCTCGTGACCAGCGGGACATCCGTGTCGTCATTGAGATCCAGGTCGATGGCTCCACTAATATGGGGAGCCGCACACACTGCATCTAGCGATTCCTTCAAGAGGCTCTTGTACTCGGCCGTAACCGTCTTGGTGTTGACCACAGGTAGAAAGGAAGCCGTGTGGTGTAGTCGGTACCGTGGGATCGTAATGTATGGTATCTCCAACTGGTACTTGACCATCGCGTGGTGGGGGACCCCTGGCAAGAGCTTGGCGCCCAGGTACTTGGGTGGGGCATCTTGTGGGTTTCCCCAGGACAACGCCCTTGTCGGAGCTGTACCGATCGCCGTGGTCACCTGAGTAGATTGGTCATGCGATACGTCCAGCTGCCATCCGATGTCTAATAAAGTATTATATGAAGCTTTCCAATTGAGGTCCCCTATGATGTAGAGGGGATGGCCCAGATGTCCCAGTGATTTGGCATAATCCAGAGCATACGAAAACCATGATCGATCGTACCACTGTGGCCCGTACATACTCAAGATTGTCGCTTTGGTAGTTCTGATCCCAACCATCCGATGGTCGAGCTTATCGTCTCTGATGACGCTGATCTTTCCCATGGCCCGTCGCCACAAAATCGCACAGCCGCCCTGCGTCGTTGCCACTCTCGCCCCAGGAGGAGGGGGCTTAGAGCATGCCGCACCCCACCCTCGTCGAGCGCAGAAGTTGATCAGCCACCTCGGCCTCATGTCAGGGAGTCGTATCTCCTGGAGACATAATACGCCGACGTCGTCTGCAACATTGTCCAGGATCTCTGACAATCTGGCCTTCGAGATGCTGGTGACATTGATCGTGGCTACCTGCAGGCGATCGAGGCCCTCGCCCTGGTCATTCTCTGAGCCCTGGGGCTCCGTCTCGTCGACGTGATCTTCGGCATGTTCAATGTGGGCGGGGCCTTCACCTGTCCCCGATGGATCTACCCCATGGTCAGGGTATTCCACATCATCTTCTATACCTGTCTTCAAGCGTTTGGAGGATCTCGGGCTCTGAGTCGATGATCTCCCCAACTGTGTTGGTGTCGTCGTCGGTCTCGTCGTGGTCCTCGAAGGTGTCGACATGGCGTCCCGTGCCTGGGGTGTTCCCTCGCATTCGGGGCTTCCCCAGGCTTGCAAAACGTGGCGACGCTGCCTGGGGTGTTCCCTCGCATTCGGGGCTTCCCCAGGACTTGCGTCCTGACGCCGCTGAGCCAATCCACACCGCCGCCTTTTAGACTCTCTGTGGGAGTCGAGACATTGATCTGCAAATACAGTCTTTGAATTCGAAGAGCTAGAGAAATCAGTCTTTGGAGCAAGTTCAGAAACTGCTTGGTCTGCAAATACAGCCTTTGAATTCTGGGACGGGTCCTCGGCACTTATGTCCATGACCCTTGCTTTCTTTGAAGCCGTAGTAGCCCCCGAAGATGAGGCCCTCGATGCTTTCACATTTGTCGAAGCTTTCTTCTGCCGCTTGGGTAGTGGTTGCCCCTGGGAGTCATCGTGGCCTTCAGCTCGGTGGCCTCCTCCTCCCAGGAGCGGATCCCGTCACGACGATGTTGAGGCTGCGGCTGCCTCCTCCTGCTCCGGCGCCTCGCTGGGAGCCACTGCTGCAGGTCTGCGTAGCATCCGCATCAGCTTCTGCCTCTTGAAATACTCTTGGCGCTTGGCCTTCATCTCTGGAGTACGTTGTCTGCGTCTCTGCTTTTCCTGCGTCTTCTTATGTGCCGCCTCGATCTGGTCAGCGTAGTCCCTGTTGACCATCCTGGCCCAGACGTCGTGTGTAGCCTCCTTGACTTTGCGTGGATCTCCTGGTCGCCTGGCACAGACCGCCCACGCGGTGTTACCTTTCTTCAGGATATGCTTGGCCAACGTCTTACGTCTGCCGCATCTCGTACAAGAATATACCGTGTTGCCCTGCTTGCCGTCCTTGACCGTTTCAACGTTGTCCTCCGTGATCTGGCAGACGCTGGGCTTCACCTCCTCGGGTAGAGACTGGTACCATGTAGTGTACCTCCTCCAAGCTTTGTCTCGCTTACCTTTGTCCATGTATGATAAGCTGGTCACCGCCCTCAGCCGTGCTGCCCTATTCTCAGGTGGCTCCTTGGGCGGTGGTGTGCCCTTGCAGGCACGCCAGTGTACTCGTGCGTGTTGTAGAACATGACAGGGTGCATGCGCTCCTTCGGGCTTCCACCCGCAGTCGCAAAAATAATAGTTGTAGCGCTCAGGACGGCATGCTGGTAGATCATGATCAGGGAGAGGATCAACGACTGCCTCATCGCCGACCGATAGTCCC